AGAGAGAGAGAGAGAGAGAGAGAGAGAGAGAGAGAGAGAGAGAGAGAGAGAGAGAGAGAGCATATGAGCCTGAACTTCGCGCCTAATTCGCATAGAGACGCAGCGAGCGAGTTACACACACACACACACACACACACACACACACACACACACACACACAGAGAGAGAGAGAGAGAGAGAGAGAGAGAGAGAGAGAGAGGTCTAGGAGGGAGTTCGGTGCTCGGCAGTCAGTTTTTCTCCGCCTCTGTCTGGACCTCTTCTTCTTCTTCGTCTTCTTCTTCTTCTTCTTCTTCTTCTTCTTCTTCTTCTTCCTCTTCTTCGTCTTCTGTCATCTTGTGCTTCTTCGTCATTTGTCCTTTAGAAGAAAAGAAAATAAGGGGTAAAAGTTCTTTCTCCTCTTCTTCTTCCTCTCCTTCTCCTTCTCCTTCTCCCTCATCCTTGTCCTGTTGTTCGTCATCTTGGTCTGGTCTTCTTCGCGTCTTGCTGTCGGTCTTCGTCATCTTCGTTTCCATTGCCATCGCCGTGCTTGTCCACAAACACTACCAGTTTCAGGCTGTCATGGCCGTCGGGGGGGGGTTTCTACATCGAGTTCTGTCGTATGTGGCAAACGTACTCATAGTGGATAAGCTTGCTAACAATCCCTCCTTTCAACGGTTTGCGATTCGATCGTCGAGAGCCGTGGAGGAGATGTTGAGAAAGGGGCAGGAGAGGAAGGAGGCGGTTGGAGAGAAGGTCAGGGAAATGAGTGAGTTTATAGAAGATGAGTATTTCCGAAATAGGAAAGGCGGCCCGTTTGATCGAAGGTGAATATGAGCCAAAAAAAAAAAAAAAAGGCAGCGAGTCCATGGGAAAAAGAGGTGGGGCACAAAAGAAAGAATATAAAAAGTGAAATGAAAAAAAAAAATTGGACTTTGCCTGCTGGAGGAAGGAATAGATGTATGTATGATGTATATGTATAGCCAAACAGAGCTGCCCGGTTTACCGTAGGCAGAGAGGGAGAAGAGGACAACAAATGAGGGGCTGTGACAAACTGTATCGTCGGAGTTTCACCCACTCTTCAGGAGGCGGGATGATGTATATATATATATATACGGTGTTGTTTGATGATATAGATGCATGTTGTTTGACGATATATACAGAATCACAGATTGTAATTTATATACACTTTTTTTTTGTATTTTTGTTCCCCACCGCGCTGCCGTCAGCCCCCTTTCTCTCGGTTCTTGGTTTTCTCTGCCTGGTTTCTGCTTGTTTTTGTATGCTTCTGGGTAGCATGGCGTACGTGTGCGCGGGTTGTATGTACACGTATTCCTGTACGCGACACGTACACGCGTACACATACTCCCGTACGTGGGAATATGTAAAAAACAAAAACAAAAAAAAAACATCCAAAAAAATCTGAAAAAAAGTTATGTTATGCAAAATGATATTTCACACAACTTTTGCCTGAGACTCATCTCAAAATTCTGTACCAAACTCGAGTTGTGAATCAAAAACACTAGCTAAGCGCCCACGGTGCGGGCGGTGCGGGCCATGCCCGCAGAAATAAGAAATGTTGTAGGCAACGTGACACGGACGACTAGCATAAACCAAGACAGACTTAAAAAAAAAAAAAGCAAATCACAGGGTAATAATGAATAGCCTAAAACTGGCTTAAGAAGTTTGGGTTTTATGCATGGATAGCTAGGCTGCCCGGGGTGGGTGGCTGG